ACAAACAAACTTCTCTAAGCATGTATTTAGTTTTTAAACACTAGAGTACCGCACGTTTTACATTTCAATATAAAGAATAAATTAATTTAATTTCCAGTCTATGTATTTTTTGGGTTGGAATCGTTGTTCACGTGATCTCTTCCCACCATTCATTAAAAGGGTATAAATGTGCGTGTGCGGTGTTAGTTGTCCGATATTTTCTCATTAAACCCTTATACTGCTCAACCTTGGTGAAAGTAGGTAGAGCTGGTAGCCTCGAGCGATGCACCAATTCAACTAATAATCTCGTAAGTATAAAATAATATCGTTTCCTGTCTGTGTTGAAGGTTTTCAAATCAGGTTCTTACTTACTTTAATCTTATACACAGTGTGCTATAAAGCAGAAAACAAAAGGTCTTTTAATGCAGGTTCTCACTTCACTTTTTTGTATACGGTGCACTATAGAGTAGTAAACAGTGTATAGATTTTGATAAGCGTCTCTTGAGAACTGAAACTACGTGGGATTCGAATTCAAAAACTTTACTTGTTATTGGAATATTTTTAATTGAAAAAAATCTGAGGTAAAAATTGCCTTGTAACAATCAATCGTATTTTTTTTCTCCACATTAAAAATACGTTAAGTACGTCATCCTTGAAAACCTTACGACATACAACAGGTTTCGGTTTTTGTTTGTTTGCCATCCTCTGTATCCTATTTTACCGCGGATTATTCGCAAAACAAACAAGAGGGAATCCTCAATAGCCACGGAACTTGAAATTATTTTAGGCAGGATTAGAGTAAATTAATCTAAGATATATTTGTTTCCCTTTTTAATTAACTATATTTTTGTACGCCAGCATTACCAAGTGTGGGGCGCGCGTATACCCGTTTCGATTTTATTACTCATCAGGATCTCTACCAGCCCACCCTCAAATTGAAATTATTTTAGGCAGGATCAGAGTAAGTTAATCTATGAGACCTTGGGCGTTGTGAAATACATCAATCGAAAGGGTTTGACCTTCTGAGTCCAAAATTGTAATTATATATCAAATCGGTCAAGAGATGAAGGAGCTATGAGCTAAAAGTTTGTACTTGAAAAACTCGGAGCCCTTCTATGAGCCGTTATGCCGCGGCTAAAAATATTAACGTTGAATGAGCTCATGAACCATGTAACAGTTCCAGAGAAGTGGCTGTGTGTTCTTACTAAAATAACTTCAGCTAGGATTGCAAAATCAGTCTTAAAAATGAGTTCGTTGTTAACAACGGTGTGATGACCCCACCCCTTTTTTGTTTGTTCTTACCAGGAGGCTACGTGACGTGTTGTAGTACTAACACACGAACATTAGTGTTCTGGTGACAGACTGCGTGACTCGCAAATCAATGAAAACTCGTGCCATGCACGTGCTGTGAGATGCTTGTGATGTGTCAGTTTTTTTAAACTTCTCAAACTTCAGAGCTGTACCAACGAGTTCCATCTCCGTAAGTTTTGTGTGGGAAGAATTCTAGGTTACTCCCGACTGGTGTTCGTTACTACCTTGTTTTTATCTGCAGCATGTACACGATTATATATTTACAGTGAACACGTAAGTTTTTTTTATTTAACGAGTAAACTTTCATGCTGTTCAAAGTGTGAAGTCATTTCTATCACGTTTCCATCACGCTATCGTTTAGTGAATTTGTAGAGCTACCGTAAAATAACAATAATGTGACATAGAATTATGAGTTAAGAGTATTAGACTTCGTAAAAGTATCAATACTACATTGTAAAACTAATAATTATTCGTAAAAGTACCAGCTTACAGAAATAGTGTAAAAAGTGTATGATTTCAATCATCTTCTTAGAAGTAAAACCTGGAAGTATCGAGAACAAAAGTAAAGCTGTTATGAAACCGTGTGTAATCCTAAATTATAACCACTGGAACGCCACCTATCAAAACTTTCTATCCCCATCTTTGACTTTAAACTTATTTCTTAAAGCAAAACGAACTTCGTCTATTTATTTGATTTACCTCACGGAAGAATGTCCTCGAGGGTCGTGTACACTGTAGAAATTCTTTTACTTTCGCGCAAAGCTACACGAGGGCTATCTGCGCTAGCCGTCCCTAATTTAGTAGTGAAAGACTAGAGGGAAGGCAGGTAATCATCATCATCACCCACCGCCAACACTTGGGCTACTCTTTTACCAACGAATAGTGGGATTGGCCGTTACAGTATAACGACCCCACGGCTGAAAGGGTGAGTATGTTTGGTGTGACGGGGATTCGAACCCACGACCCTAACCACATCTCCGTGCCGGGCCGTTATAGATACAGACAAACAGATACAGTTACATGGAGAGGGATATTTGTGCGCCCCCAGTGGCACAGCGGTATGTCTGCGGGCTTAGAAGACTAGAGACCGGGTTTAGATACCCTTGGTGGGCAGAGCAGACATAGCCCTTTGTGTAGCTTTGTGGACAAATGGAGACTCGGGTTTAAATTTTAACCAGGGAGGAAACGTTCTCTAAGGACTCATATTTGTGGACAAATGAAGACTCGGGTTTAAATTTTAACTAGGGATGAAACGTTCTATCAGGACTCATATTTGTGGACAAATGAAGACTCGGGTTTAAATTTTAACCAGGGAGGAAAAGTTCTGTCAGGACTCATATTTGTGGACAAATGAAGACTCGGGTTTAAATTTTAACTAGGGAGGAAACGTTCTGTCAGGACTCATATTTGTGGACAAATGAAGACTCGGGTTTAAATTTTAACCAGGGAGGAAACGTTCTGTCACGACTCATATTTGTGGATAAATGAAGACTCGGGTTTAAATTTTAACCAGGGAGGAAACGTTCTGTCAGGACTCATATTTGTGGACAAATGAAGACTCGGGTTTAAATTTTAACCAGGGAAGAAACGTTCTGTCACGACTCATATTTGTGGACAAATGAAGACTCGGGTTTAAATTTTAACCACGGAGGAAACGTTCTATCAGGCATAGAAATTAACAACAGTAATGAAAACATCCATCTAAATAAGACGTTAATAATATCTCATTTTTAACACTTTGTTTTTAAATACCTCGCTACCGTGATGACAGAAACATGTCTTTGTTCATCTCTAACGTTTAAAAACGGTAAATAATAATAATAATAAAACTCTAGACATTGAAAACACAAAAGATTCCGTATTATTTCTTTGTTTTCACCGTAGTGTGGGAATAACCGCTGGCTTTTATTTCTCCGAGTCTAACGCAGTTTTGTGTAAACATAAATTATCAAAAGTCATGCGCGAGGTATTACAGGAACCAATAATATCAGTCGGTTCAGATCCGGCTTTGCTGCTATATTGTCTGTGATGTGTGAAACAATGAAATAAAAATTAGAGAAGGCGAACGAAAGATTCAGCCTCGTGACTACATAGAAGTGACAGTTACGTTCACAGTAAGATCCCTGAAAGAAGACATGAAATTATACCCAAAGCATCGATCCACGACTCTGACGTTGAATTAGTCTGTGATATACGCGTGTAATTCTAGGTTGTGGGGTCCTGCTTCTTGTTGCTTGACTTCAAGTTCCCAGAACGTTTTCACCTTGAAATTATGTAGATTTCTCCTCGTAAGTAGATAAATACATTTATTATTTGGAGTAGGGGCACGGGTTATGTATGCGTAAAAAAAAACAAAACACTTTACGTGGTCAGCGTCTGTCGAGACTTAAAACGTTCTGTAATTTGGATATTTGTCTGAGTCATTGGCGTAATGCTTTATATAGAGCCCGACGGTCTGTCTGTGATTTGCCTTACCTGGCGCCGGACACATGTATGTATCACGTCGTACGAAATAGCTTGTCGGTTGTGTGGTGACGTCATGAGAACAGCGTTTTCCCGAGGATAAAGGAAAAAGCTTGTAACGGTTTAAAATTGTTTTTGTACATACAGATAGGATTAGTAAGTCAACAGCTGAACCAACTAGTACAGCAGGGAGCTGCAAGAAAACAAGTAGCACTAGAAGGCTGGCTTTAATTAGCTGTCCAAACGTTTATAATATCTCTACATATCTGCAAGCAAGTATACTGTGTTTTTTTTCTTGGATTTTGTAGTTGAAAGCAGTGGATGGAGAGAAGTGTCTACTGAACTTGTACCTTAGAATGGACATTGGTGGCTACCTGCAGCATATACAAGTGACCAGTCATTAAACGGACTTGTCGAACAACGTTACAACACCAGGCACTCAACAAAGGTAAATGAAATTAATAACTATTTTGCTGTAAAACTTACTAACAAAAATATTGGTGTAATACAAGTCGGTACACGCTGAACTTGAGATTGTGGTTTCGTGTTTAATGTGACATAACATGTGCATGTTGAATCTGAGGTCTGTGCCTTAATTAAACTAGACAGTGATATATGCACTGTAGTGTGATTTAAGCTCGTATTTTGTTCTGTCTTTACATCTTCACAGATGAAGATGTAGTGAGTGGTAGTACACTCGGTTGAAGATGTAGTTAGTGATAGTACACTCGATTGAAGATGTAGTTAGTGATAGTACACTCGATTGAAGATGTAGTTAGTGATAGTACACTCGATTGAAGATGTAGTTAGTGATAGTACACTCGGTTGAAGATGTAGTTAGTGATAGTACACTCGGTTGAAGATGTAGTTAGTGGTATTACACTCGGTTGAAGATGTAGTTAGTGGTAGTACACTCGGTTGAAGATGTAGCTAGTGGTAGTACACTCGGTTGAAGATGTAGCTAGTGGTAGTACACTCAGTTGAAGATGTAGTTAGTGGTAGTACACTCAGTTGAAGATGTAGTTAGTTCTTGTAGTTTCTACTCGGATGATGGCACATTCCCAACCAATCAACAATGCAATGTCTTCGGGGGAGACGTTTCGTTGGAGTGTTGTGTGGCCTCTCATTCCGAAGATAAGTAATCTTCCAACGAGGTTGTTCAAAAGTGTGGATCCAGGATGCACAATGAGTCTTCGGTGTTCCTCATGGAAGCTGAAAAACTCCCACATCAAAGCGTTAATTTCAAGGCGGCAGTGGGTTTTGAAATTACTTTCCAAGCCAATCAGTGGCAACGCTTTCAACTGCTAAGTGAAGACTGTGGTTACGAAAAAGAACCCTCTGACCCTAAGACCAATTTCAGTGAAGCTGAGCATAATTCTTGACACCGTGAACATAAAAATAAAGAAAGATTTAAAGTTCGAAAAGGCTCAAAATCGACAGTTTACAACCTTTCAGACACAACTAAAAATCAACGGCAGTTTGTTGTTGTTGCTGTTTCGTTTAGAAAAGTAGGCAAAGAAACTGGAATCACAGCCATCCCATTCGACTCCGTAACTATCAAATTCCCTGTGTAACTTCAGTGGACTTTTGTGCCTTTGATATGCTTAAATAAACATCGAAAATTAATGTCCATGCAAAGCGAAGGGTCTGTAGAACACTTGTGAAGATCTGCAGAATAAGATTGACTTCGTCATCTTTCCCACAAGCTTGTTACAGTATCAGGCAGTAGTGCATAACCATGACTATCAAAGTGAGCTCGGTTGACGATGAAAGAACCATCGTTGTTATAAGAAGCGATTTACCATCACCTTAGCCCATTCAAAATTTAAAAAAAATCACATTATTATATATTTAAATGTTGACATTTTAGAGCCTGTTGATTATTGTCATGACTTCCTTCCCGGAAATGAAGTGTTTCTGTGGAGAGAAATTTCTGTTTGTTTAAAGGCAAAGGGATGTTTTTGTTTGTTTTTTGTATAAAACTCTTGTTAATAGATTAGTTTTGTGAATTATATAGCTGGTAAAACATTGATTGTAATATCTATGCTCGAGAAACTTGCTGCACCCAGGTTTCCCCGAGGGATTTAGGCTTAGCGTGTAGATCGACAGTAATTTCTTTCTTTTATAAGCCTTTCACATCGCGAATAACTGCGTTTGGCTTTGATGATATTCATTTAGCATCCTGTGCTCTGTCTTGTTTTTAGTAGCGAATCACGAGCTTTTCAACCTGCTTATTGATTGGTTGATTCACGTGGGCCCTGATGAGCACTGCTTGCGAATAAACATGGAGATTGCACGACTTGTGACACTTAACACAAGGGAGTAGCCTAATTTAACACGTATATAGAACTATTTAAGTTGAATATAGGTCTTGCAATGGTTCGTATCTGTAACCTTGGTACATTGCCAGTCTCACTGCTTCAACCTTCTGTTCATGGGTAACATTTTCATAAAAGTGTTTCTCTAACGTTATGAATGTTTCTCAAACATATTGACGATTTTCTAGTAAATACGAAACCGTTACCTGCTGTATTGTAGTGATGTCACAGAATATGACCTGTCCTTGCTAACACTTGACCCCGGAAACTATCAGCAGGAAGTACGGGAATATAGTAACTGACTTAATGGTTATCCGGAATACATTCAAGATTGAGTAAACAGACCTAATGGTTATCCGGAATACCTTCAAGATTGAGTAAACAGACCTAATGGTTATCCGGAATACATTTCAAACTCAGTACACAGACCTAATGGTTATCCGGAATACATTCAAGATTGAGTAAACAGGCCTAGTGATTATCCGGAATACATTCAAGATTGAGTAAACAGGCCTAGTGATTATCCGGAATACATTCAAGACTGAGTGAACAGGCCTAGTGATTATCCGGAATACATTCATAATTAAATGAACAGATCTAATGATCATCCGGAATACACTGCAAAAGTAAACGAAGCGTTTCTGGTGTTGGGTGAACAAAACGCATTAAATATGACAGCTTCCGTGCCAAACCTGAAATCTGTAACTAGCACGTGAAAGATATTCATGACCAGTTACTGGTCAGAAATAAAGGATTGTACAGTAATGTGGGGAAAATATCTGTCTATCCGTGTAACTGTATCTGTTTGTCTGTACCTGTAACGGCCAGGTGGTTAGGGCGCTCGACTCGCAATCTGAGGGTCGCGGGTTCGAATCCCCGTCCCACCAAACATGCTCGCCCTTTCAGTTGGTACCAGAGTAGCTCAAGAGTTGGCGGTGCGTGGTGATGACTAGCTGCCTTCCCTCTAGTCTCTCACTGCTAAATTAGGGGCAGATAGCCCTCGTGTAGCTTTGCACGAAATTCAAAACTAGCCAAACCAAACTGTACCTATAACAGTATATCCCGTGGCGTCGTGCCCATAAGTCACATGTGGGCACCCCCCCTTTTCCCACAAATGCTTTCCACGCACAGTTTTAATAATTCCAATCCCATGTATAAACATTTGATTATTTATATTCAAACTATTTGTCTGTACTGAAGAACAATAGGTTAATCAAAGTAACAGTGGGAATATAACATGAAAAATTATGACACCCCACATATTATTATCAACCCCTTACAGATAACCAAAAAACACTTTATTCTCTGACAGTGTCCCTCAAATAAATTTGGCTGCATGGCACCCCTGGATTTATCTATCGATCTGTAATGTAATTATCCCTTTTTTACGTCATCAGATGTCAAAACTAAATGCCCGGTTGGGTAGCAACAGTGATTTAAATTGCCCTATTGTAGGCCTAACTTTCTTGTCCGTTACGATGTGTAGGATGTGTACTGTTTACTAGTATTAATAATAATAAACGTTTTAATCTCGTGTATAATTGATGAAGCTTTGATCATATTTTTCTACATAGACAATAAAGAACGAAGAATCTCACAATGACTACAAGCTTTCTGGTAAACAAATAAATGAATGTAAGGCTTAAATTAATAGTTTATCGAACATTTATATATATATATATCGGTACTTGTTTTTTCAGACATACATTTCAAGATGGCGCTTAATGATGATTCGTCCGTAACGCCCTCTATCAACAACACCGTTTTAGGAGACGAAGAAGACACTCGATGTCTTTACTTCGATTACAACTATGATATCACGACAGCGGTGGTTTGTGGGATGTATCTGGTATTTGGAGTTGTTTACACACTCTATGGTAAATTATCGAATTTTAATTAAATTATAATTACGAATGATACTTGTTTGTTAAACGTTTATGTTGTTCTTGCGCGCTCATGTTTCAATTACTTTAAATGCAAAAACTTTATTCGATACCCCTATGTTTATGCGGCAAGACCTTGAAATTATGCGCCATGCAACCCTTATCTAAAGTAAAAAAAACATTTTAAAATAATAACATTCATGAAGATAGTCAACATAATTAATACAATTACACCATCAAGAGTAATTTATCACTTTTATTTTTTATAAAATAACAACAACAAACACAGCTTTAGACGATAGAAGTGTTTTTTTTTGTTTTTTTTTACTTTACTGTGTCCAGAAATTCAGACTTTGAATATGCAGTCAACGTCAACCATTTTTTATGCTGTCATATGTAAATTATACAATAAATATTACGACTGCTCAATAGTGTTAAACTCGGGGTCCGGTATATTAATCTAGATATTACCGATAAAATCCATATATTTAAAGACATTTTTCTAATCTATATATGCCCCAAGTTGCTTGGAGGTCCATTACTTTGTTGATTATAAGGTCCCTAATGACATACAAGTCACAAACAAAATTAAAGAAATATACCAATTAATCCCACTCTCGCAGCGACATCTGTGTATTTGACAATGAATGATTTTCACACAATTTAAGTTTGCTTGGAGGTCCATAACTTTGTTGATTATAAGGTCTCTAATGACATACAAGTCACAAACAAAATTAAAGAAATATACCAATTAATCCCACTCTCGCAGCGACATCTGTGTATTTGACAATGAATGATTTTCACACAATTTATATGACCAGTTCTTTACGCTGACTGTTGTAGCAAGCAAATGATAAAATTACGAAATATGATGCGAAAAATGGACCCTAGCGTTTGGGGGCGGTATAAAATAATCAGTAATTTGATATTTAAGTCAAAGGGGGTAACAAAGTATTTACACCACACATGCTTGCTCTGGTACGTGTGAGAGTATATGTTAAACAGAAACCGTAGTTGCCAGAATTTCGTTATCATATGCGAACTTTCGTATTGCAATTAAAGCATGTAGTCAGAGTATGATAAGCGGGGGTTCTTTTTCCAAAATCAAGTGACCTTTTTGCTTATTTTAGGAAGTAAGCACAAAACTATCGTGGTCTTACGTTGTGCATTACTGTTATGAAGTTAGGTGTAAGGATCATCGGTTGAAGTTGAAAGTGGTGAGAAAGCGGTTGGCTTTTGGTCAGTCTATAAGGAATTAGGGGATTAGAGTAATATAAAGCAATAGAAAATGATTGGAGTGAGTGGGTATAGCGGCTACCTTTCTAAGTTCAGCCAGTATGGAGACTACATTAGTTGAGGGCATTAGTTTGAGAAAAGAATATAAAAAACAGGAGTCCAGCGAAAAGTAAAGAAGACCAGAAGAAGTGAGACACAAGGAATAAACCGAAAGAGGCAAGGGAAGAATGTAATATACTGCCAATAAGAAAGAAAACCTGTTTATAAGTCTATGTGTTATTGATTACCAGTAATAAACAGCAATATGTTATGTTTACGTTGGTATGAGTTCACTGATGTGAGACAGAATGAATAAACCGAAAGAGGCAAAGGAAGAATGTAATATACTGCCAATAAGAAAGAAGACCTGTTTATAAGTCTATGTGTTATTGATTACCAGTAATAAACAGCAATATGTTATGTTTACCTTGGTATGAGTTCACTTCCTGATAGCGCGAGTATAGCACGATCGTAACAATTACATGTTATTATCTTATCAGAAATTAGAAACACGAAACTAATTCGGATGATCCTTTTAGGTATCAAGTTTCTAAAAATTGCAATTTCTGGTATTTTCGTTAATCCACTAAGATACTTTGTTAAACTTCATGGGATTCTCAGTATTCGGTAAGCAACATTATTACTCTCGCCCCCGGAGGGTGTGTGTGTAAGGGTATTGCAATCGGGTTCGTGTGTGTTTGCCTGTCTGTGTTTCCGCGCGCATACCTCGAAAATTAATGGACCGATGTACACGAAAATTTTACACAAGATGGGAAGTCAGTATAGACCTAGTCCTCCCCAAAATTTAGTGCGAATCCAACTCCAACACATTAAGGTTGAGACTCCTCATCACACTACAAAAAAAAAATGATCCGGATCGTTGATCATCCTGGATCTGAGAAGGATTTTCAGAGTTTTCGAAGGTGAAATTTGACGTTATCTAATATAAACGCGTGCAATCTCGAAAAGGAGTGGCGGGGCGAGAGCATGTAATCTCTCAGAGTTCTCTTGTTACTGTCAGTGACGGGCGAGACGTATTCTAGTGTTATATTAGCCTGCGTAAGTGACCAAATTAGGTGGCCTTTCTTGAGACGGGACAGGTGGTCATTGGAACCGACCTTAGCCACTGGCCCGTGATTATTATTATTTTTTTTTTTATAACTGTGTCACAAAATTTATTATTACGTATACTGAACAACAGAAACAATAGTATCACTGAATACGTTGTTTTGCAGACATATGCGCCCTCTTTTTTATGTATGTGTGTGTGTAT